TCTATCTAGAGTAAAGAAGAATATTCTTCAATCGTGGGGGCCAAGTCTTCTTGGTTGAATACAAAGTATTGATAAGATGGATCCCAAAATTGTATTACGGCTCTCATCAATTGTTCATCAACCTTCATTAACATAAGTAGTGCCACATTTTCATATTTCTTGAAAAAAGATTTTTTTCTCTCTGTTCTCCACTACTTTCGAATAGCTTCCAATTCTGATATATTATTCTAATGAGATCTATATGCACTGACTGTGGTAGCACCGATATGTGACCATCTACTAAGCAATCTTTTTCTTTTCCCTGAGTACTTTCTGAATGGCTCTTGACCTCTAAGTAGCTCTTACATACGGATGACATCCTTTAGGTTTTCTGAAAGTTTTTCTTGCTGAAAATTGGTCCAAAATAATACTCTATAGAAATATGGTACCTATATGATGCATGCAACAATTTTGAAGATAACAAAAGAATTAAACAAATCAATAATGTAAATAAAACATAAATAAAAATGAGTAAATGAATGAACAAGTATAACATGTATCATAATAGAATTTACATAGTGTCATAATTTAGGTAATTTTCTCATAAAAGGGATAGCATGGCTCTATTCTGAAGTTGGACCTTACGGTTCACAATATGCCGGGTTAAGATTTACATGTCTAAAAGTTTTCAGACTATTCCTCACATCATCATCCATTATAGACTAGTAAGGCTCCCCGATCCTCACCCATTACAGGCTACTAACGAAACGGGTTCAATCTAAGTGGAAGTGTTTTATTAGCAAATGCGAAGGTTATCACTTCACGAGAGCGTAGCTACTTCACTTCCTCTTAAAAGGGATAGAGCCCAGGTCTAGAGCTCATGCATGAATATGCAAAGTGTGTGCAAAATAATGTATTAATCAAAATACCATAAACACAAAATTAAAATAAAATAACAACTAACATACAAATTATCTTATTCATTAATGCATATTTTTTTGAAAAATCAAAATAAAGGAGATTAAATGAAATGTCAAATAAAACCAATTAAAACCAACGATTCTTAATAGCGTGTAATTAAAAGTTTTGGCTTGACTCTCAAATATATAGTCCCCAGCGAAGTCGCCAATCTATCGTACCAATTTTGAGACCGCCAGACGTAAAAGAATTTTAAAATCAAAGTAAATGGGAGAGTCGTCACCAATCTTTGTTAGGGTGTGATTGGTCACCCAAAAGTTTATCTTTTTAATAAAACTATAAAAATAGATTTAAAGTTTATCAAAAAGATAAATTTCGATTTACGAAAAATCAGGTTGAGTCCGGGAGTCGATTATGTGTGGGGAAGGATTAGCACCCCCACAACGCCCATAAATTGATACCATTTAATTATGCGCTATTTTCGATGTTGGACAAAATTGGTTTTAATTTGAAATTTAACAATAATTCTCTTCATTTGGAAAAATAAAATTTTGCTAAAATTTTTATTTAGAAATATTGAGAAAATCTTTAAGTTAAAGAATTATCTTAAAATTCTCCAACATCTAAGCAAAATTTAAAATAACTCTTTTCGCTTAAGATTTAATACAACAATCCTTAAAATGAAATAACAATTTTATAGAAAATAATTGTTAGTGACTCTCCAACATCTAGGCAGAGTACCAAGAATTATTTCTTTCAGAATGTTATTTTTATTTTATTTTGTAGTATCACAACTTTTTTTTTAAAATGCGTTATTCTTTTTTTTATTGTAAAATATTTTATCATCAAACAGTAAATTAAAGAGAGAATAATACCGATAATTATCGATGATAACATGCTAACGTATATATGCTAATGGATGTCATATAAAATGAAATGCAATTTAAAAGTTGGATTCTTAAGTATAATGAGACCACCCCGACTTTCCAACATCTAGGCAGAGCTTAGGTGCGACTGTTTATATTTAAGATCCCAATTTACTATTATACTTTTTATTTATTAATTTCATTATTAATGTGAATTAAGAACTCGTGTGAAACACTTAATGAAATGGAGTTTCCTAAATACCCCATCATTTAGGCAGCATTCAGGAACAAACCATTTCATGTGAGACTTTTGCACGTATCTTTAAGGTTTTGAAATAGATTTAGGGTAAAGGTTTAGGGTTTAAGTTTGGGGTTTAATTAAAATGCGAACATCTTTAAAAATCTCTAACATCTAGGTGGACTTCGGAGCAAGTTTAATTTTTATAATTTTTGAAAATTAATCAAAAATTTCTTATATCTTTCATTTTTTTGAAAATTTATTAATAATAATTTCCCAACATCTAGGCGAAATTATTTTTTAGGAATATGTTTTATTCCCTCCAACATCTAGGCAGGAAAAAAATCTATTATTATTATTATTTAAGCATTTTTAATATATATTTTAATTATTACTTTACTTTATTTTCATTTTATTATTATTAAAACAATTAAAAAAAACTTATTCTAACAAATTTAAAACTTATCATGCATAAATATAAAAAAAAAAAAAACCTTAAAATAACAAAAATAAATAATATACAAAAAAATTAGAAAATTAAAAAAAAAAATTTTTACCTAAATCGGACTGGTCAACTATCCGGTCAACGGCGGTTCGGGTCGACGGTTTGGGTACGATTCAACTCGATCTTGGTGCGATCTAGTTGGTTTAGCGGTTCGATTCCGGTTCAGTCAGACCGTCAGAGGCTGGTAGAGAAGCGGGTCGCAAGTCGACTGCGCAGACCTGGGGTCGAGTCACGGGTTGACGCGCAGATCCTGGGTGCTTAAAATGACGTCGTTTTGGATGTTTATTGAAACGACGTCATTTTAGCTATTGGTAGCTTATATAAAAGTTAAAAAAAAAATTTTCATTCATTTCCTTCGTTCCTCAGAAAAAAAACGTTTTTTTTCTCTCTTTTTTTTTTTCAGCCAACCTTGGGTTGGTGGTCGTCCGTCACGACGACCGTCGTAGTCCTACCGGAAGCGAGCTCTAGTCGTCGTCATCGGTGGTTGGAAAATTCTCAAAAAACACCAAAATATTCCCCTCGGTTCACAGATCCGACCTTCTTTTAAGGAGAACAAGCCCCAATCGACGTAGATCGGGGTTTAAACTTTTTTGAGTTTTCTGTTTCTTTTTTTTTTTTGTAAAACGAAGGCTAATCTGATTTTTTATTCTTGCAGAGAGCTTCGGCGCTGAGGTTTCTCCCTACGGGAGGATTGTGTTTTTTTTTTGGCAATATTTTTTTTCGTAGCATCACCCCGCTCTCCTATTTGTTTTTTTTTTTTTTTGGTTTAACTAAGAGCTCTATTTATAGAGTTTCGGCAGTGCGTGTGTTTGAGGGAAGGGCACAAGGCTCAGCATGAGATGTAAGCACGAGCCTCATGCCCTATTATTCGTTTCTATCTTATTTGACAGTTTGTCAACGGGATGAGTAATTAAAGGGGTGAAAGGTATATTATAGTGATCAGAATGGTAGGATGTAAGGTCTGATGGCAGTGGTGCCATGAGTAATTAGAGGGGTGAAAAGTAAGGTATAGTGATCAGAAAGGTAGGGTGTAAGGTCTGATGGCAGTGGTGTCGGGGAAGACACTACTGCCATCCTCGATTTTTTTCTTTTTTTATAATTAATTTTTAATTTTAATTAAACTAATTTTATTATTATTATTAAAATCATTACTATTATATATCGGACAAAACCGATGTCTACAAGGGCTAGGAAACCTTTATGATCTAAATATCATAGTCACATAAGAAAAAAAATGATAGTTCATAAAAAATTTATTAACACGAAACAAAAAGTAATAGCACATAAGGAAAAAATTGTAATTCATAACAAAACATTAATACATAAAAATTAGTAACACGTAAGAAAAAAAATGCGATTCACAAAAACAAGTAGTAATGCTTAATCAAAATGATTACACATAAAAATAATAACAAATAAAAATTATAACAAAAATAATAATATATTAAAAAAATAGTAATTCATAATAAAAAACAGTAACTCATAAAAAAAATAATAAGGCAAATGAAAAATAGTAATACATAACAAAAAGCAGTAACATATAATATAAAGAGTAATTCATAGAGAACACGTAACAAAAAAGTTTAACACATAAGAAAAAATAATGAGATATAACAAAAAAATGGTAATATATAACAAGAAAAGTGATATCACATAAAAAATAGTAATATATAACAAAAGGTGATAACACCAAAAAAAAAAAAAATTATAAGTGATAACATATAACTAAAAAAAAATACATAATAAAAAGTAATAATACACAACAAAAAAAATAATACATAAAATATGTAATGATAAAGTTATAATAGTAATTTTCTTTTGAAAAAAATTAGTTCATATTTTTTAATCCACTTCTACCCACTTTTTCTTCATTCTAAAAAATTATATTGAAAGATGATAAATTTTTTTTATAAATATATAAATATTCAATTATTAGTTTTTTGCCAATAAACTATTCAATAAAGTACATAACTAAAAAAATATTTTTAAGTTTCTTTTTTTTAATATAATTCATAGAAAACATAAAAAAAAAATTATAACACATAAGAAAAAGTAATGACATATAACAGAAATGATAATATTAACAAGAAAAGTGATAACACATAAAAAATTGTAATATATAACAAAGGTGATAACACAAAAAAATAGTAATTTATAAGTAATAACATATAAAAAAATAATAACACATAATTAAAAGTAATAATACACAAAATATGTAATGATAAAGTTACATTGGTAATTTATTTTTTTAAAAAAAATTAGAGTTCATATTTTTTAACCCACTTCTCCCTACTTTTTCTTCGTTCTAAAAAAGTGTACATGAAATTATTTTAATTTTTTTCTTTTTTATATTTAAAGGTAATAATTTTTTATATTATATTATATAAATATTTAATTATTGTTTTTGTAGCCAATAAAAATATTCAATTATTTATTTTACTTGGGTGTACTTTTTGGAGATATTCAGATTGGGTTATGACAACCTGCGCCAGCCTCAGCCTCGGGCAGGCACACACACACAAAAAAAAAAAAAAAGTTGATTGTTTCTATTTCTCTCTCTTTTATTATTATTTTTTTTCCCGGATTGAATCTTGCGGACATTGGATAAATTCCTTCCGTTCCCTTCCGTTCCCTTCCATTCCTTGGCCCTCCCCTTCACTTCTCGCATCTAATTCCTTGCGCCTTTAACCTTTCTTTTCCCTACTCTTCAGCCATCCTTCAGATTTCCTTTCTTTTTTTTTTTTTAAGTCTTTTTTAGTTTTACAGGATTTTGTTTGAATTGTGGTTTCCGGAATCAAATTGACTTTCTTTTCTTAACCCCCTTAAAATCTGGTGCCAGTTCATGGGAAAGTATTCAGGAATTAGGGTTTCGTTTTGAGTTTCCTTTGAGATGATTCCATGGGGCGGCCTCACTTGCTGCTTGAGTGCAACCGCTCTCTATCTTCTTGGAAAGAGCAGTGGCAGGTTTGCTTTCCATCAGCTATATCAATAACGCTAATTTCATCATCATTTATCAAGTGATGACCAAATTCCTTACTTAAATGGTGGAACAGGGATGCAGAGCTTCTCAAGACAGTTACTCGAGTCAATCAGCTTAAGGAATTGGGTATGTAGCTCCAATTTCCCTCCTCCTTTATGTAATATTGGAATTCTTTATAATTTGTGGACATTGATATCTATTTTACAACTTTTAGAATGAAATGTGAGAAAGGTGCTGATTAGTTACCCTGGAACATTCTAGGTACATGTGAGTGTAGCTATAAGCTCACTGTCCTTGGTCTTTATTTTGCTAGCAAGTTTGTTCCCAATTAATATTGGGGATAAGATTCCCTTTCATGTTAACAAATTCTGATAACATTGGAAAAAAATGGTCCCGACCACCTTAAACATTAACTCGTGAAAAATGGGTATCGGACATGTATATTTCATAGGTGGTGTGAGTTTCATAGGCATTTTCACTTGTTATGACTCTAAAAATGTTCATCATAAAATTAATGTTAGGTGACACACTTAATTGGATACTGGTTTGATTAGTTGCCGTCATTTGCATGTGCTAGGACATGTGCCTTAATGTTACCATATTTTTTCTCACCTTTCAGCTCAATTGCTCGACCTTGAAAGTAAAGTGCTTCCGTTAATTGTTACAATCTCTGGAAGAGTTGGTTCTGAGACACCAATCAGTTGTGAACACAGCGGATTAAGGGGTGTTATAGTAGAGGAAACGGTAACTTTTTTTAAAAAAAAAAAAATTAGAAGAGCATTAATTGTAGATTCATTTATCCCTTTTTTCTACTTGCTGTTCATATGTCCTTAGGCTGAACAGCATTTTCTAAAGCACAATGATGCCGGTTCTTGGATACAAGATTCTGCTTTGATGCTTTCTATGAGTAAAGAGGTTCCATGGTACCTGGTTAGAACATATTTCTCACAATCTTTTTAGTTTGAGTGGTATGCTGAAATTGTTTCCTTATGATTCCAGGGTTCTTAAGGTGGTTGTCTTTTGAAATCGCAGTTGAAGGAATTATGTTGTGCTACTGTTGTTAACGTAGCTGGTTTGCTGACAATATCTTTAACTGATTAATTATAGGATGATGGGACTGGTCGTGCATATGTAGTTGGTGCTCGTGGTGCAGCAGGTTTTGCACTAACTGTTGGAAGTGAAGTGTTTGAAGAGTCAGGTCGATCAATTGTACGTGGAACATTAGACTATCTCCAAGGTCTCAAGGTATTTTTCTCGTCTTTATATTGTCCATTTTATGATAACACTTTCAATTGGGTCAAGCTTATTTGATGGTCAATTTTACTTTTAGCTGCTTGGAGTCAAGAGAATTGAGAGGGTGCTTCCCACTGGTTCTTCCTTGACCGTTGTGGGTGAGGTATGTTTTGGATTAATGATTGCCTTTTGCTCAATGATGCATAATTACCAATGCAGATTCAAATAAAAAAAATGTAAATGTTCTTTGAAATGGCAATGCTTACTAGTTGATATACTTGGTGCAGTCTGCCTTTTTCCCTATGCACGCTTTTAAGTTGAAATGCCTGGATATAATGTGTATTAAAGTATCTTATGCATAAAATTATGGTAGGAAATCAATTTTTTGCTAGGTTGTTCCCTAAGAACTTGGGTTACGTAAGTTTCATTTTAAAGTAGTCCATCCCGATGCATATATGGTCCTAAATGAGTAGAAGGCTATGTTTCAATGTGTTTGGATGCCTAAAGTCTTATCTTAAAACATTAAAAGCTTGGTGTTGAAGCAGTTTGGTCATAGTTTCAATGGATATGAAACATGCCGAGAGCTAGTACTTGAGATTGATCTTTAGCCCCAGTAATGTAGTCAAGGCCACAGTTTTGGCTCTGCCTAGAAGTGTTAAGCTGCAATTTTTGCGTTCATCATTTATGTTTGGGTTATATAGTTGATTTATTTACCATTTCTCATTTTGTCTCTCCTATACGTGGTAGGCTGTTAAGGATGACATTGGAACAATTCGGATTCAGAAGCCCCATAAAGGGCCTTTTTATGTGTCTCCCAAATCTATTGATCAACTCATTTCCAACCTTGGGAAGTGGGCAAGGTTGTAAATATTTCAGACCCAGACTGCTTTTTTGTTTTGCCACATCGATAAGTTTCAATGATTATTTCAAAAAATGAAGAAAATAACCGCAGGTCTATTTATTAGGTGGTACAAGTACACATCATTTGGACTGACCATCTTTGGTGTCTTTCTAATCACCAAGCATGCAATTCATTATGTTCAGGAGAGAAGGCGGCGGAGGGAATTGCAGCGAAGGTATTGTTGATGAGTGTTTGTAGTACTTGTTGAGAAACACTGGAATATGAATTGACCGGTATAGAGAACAATTAATATTTAATAGTATTCCCCTTTTTAAGAGGCACGTATCCGCTTTTGTTATTTTCTGTAATAACAAACTGAATTGTGAAACTTTGTTCATTCAGGGTTCTTGCTGCTGCAGCTAAGAGATCAGGGCCAGATAATGAAGGTAATTCACTAGCTGTCTAAAGGATGGTTAAGATTATGGTTTTGTCTGTGTAAGATGTTGGGATCTCACAATAATTTCTGTAGATCCAACTTGGAAAGCTGAAAATGGATCAGAAGCCAAGAGAGACATGCCAGATCTATGTGTAATATGCCTTGAGCAAGAGTACAATGCTGTTTTCATTCAGTAAGTCCACTAGTTGCATTTTCTTAATTCATGCATATAAAGCAATTAAAGTTCCTTTCTAGCTATGCCCTTTATGCTTGTTTGTGTCTCATTACTAAAATTCAACAAGATACTGCTTGCTGTGAGAATAAAGGCTTTATAAATGACTTTAGTTTATGCATCTATTTCCATAACTGTGCTTAGTGCTCTCAGTCTCATTTGAAAATTCACCTGTATAAAACAGTTATTATCTACCAAATTAATTCTGTCAATATCCAATCTGAAACATAAAGTTATGTTGAATCAGTCACTTTTTCTGTATAAGAGAAGAATTTCTATTGCCTCTATTTCATATCTTGATTTGCAAATAGGATGTTTACTTCTTGTGCACTTTATTGGTGCCAGGGGGACTTGATGGTTTTCTTGATTTTCTTAAAGGTGTATTCAGTAGAAAGCAATATATTACTAGGACAACTATATTTTGCATAAATACTAAGTTTTTATTTATGAAGGATGGTTGCTTATCATGTAAAATGGGCAGATGCTGTTGATCTAAGACCATCATATGCACCCTTCTTTTTCTTTTTCCCTCCCTTTTTATGGGTTGTTGCTGGAATCAACTAAGAGGTGTCTTAGAATGTCGTTGTGCCATCAATGAAATATAGTATTTTCTATATTTAGATGTAGTAACACTTCAATTCCCTGTTCATTTTTTGCAAGCCAAAGCCTTACGCCACTGGTGATTGTTAGGTTCCTGGATGGTATTAATATTTATGTTGACCTTTACATAAGGTTTGTCTAGATTCTTTCTTTCATTTTGTTCTAGCATGTGAGATGATCAAAATTGTTGATATCAAATTTGGCTTATGAAGTTTTGTTTCTTCGTATCCAACTTTAAACTCAAAACAGAGACATGACAACTTGGTTCTGTTTAAAGTTGTAATCCTTTGGAATTGTAGACTGGTAATGAAGGACCTATTGCTTATGACATGCAGGTGTGGTCATATGTGCTGTTGTACAACATGCTCTTCGCACTTAACCAACTGTCCTCTTTGCCGGAGACGTATTGAGCAGGTCGTAAAAGTCTTCCGCCATTGAAGTTTTGCTTATGAGTACCAGCTGGGAAACGAGGATATTTATTTTTGGTCAGAGATGTACTATCTTGATGGTATACTATCCTATTAACTACCAACCACGTCTTTCTGTAAATTCATAATTTGCTTGATATCCTGTAAATATTTAGATTATTTTTTAAATGTTATTTTAAATGATAAATGATTTATTGTTGTAATTTAATGACAGATTTTAATTCAGTTCGCATATATGATAAAGTAAATGGGTTTATAAGCATATAATTAAGGTTTTTAGTGATTAAAAGTGAAATTGAGCTTGTAAGAAATAAATATCTAAAAAGTTTTAAGTCTTTTTGAAAATGAATATCTAAGAATTTTTTAGACTTCTCAAAAGTGAATATTTGATAATTTTTAAAATTTTTTGAATATTCATTTTAAAAAGTTTCAAAGTTTTTGGATATTTATTTTTGAAAAATTCAATTTAAAAAAGTGGAGAGAATAAGAGAAAAAAAGTAGAAATTGAAAATAAAAAGTAAAAGGTGAGATGTATCTAGTAAAAATAAGAAATTGAGTTTTGAATTTGAGATATATAAAATAATAAATGGGGTGTAAATAAAATTTTAATCGAGAAATTTGCATGAAATGTACTAAAAAAATTTTTTTTTTTTTATGCAAAAGAGGACTTGGTTTGGGAATAGATAAATGGATTTTAGGTGTTTGGGAAAGTTTATTTAATAATAAAAAATACAAGAAAAAAAGTTAAGTTGAGAATTGCAGTGTTTGTCGACAGTAGTTAAGAGTTGTTAAGGATGCTTAAATATAATGTAAATAAAATTTTAGTTTAGTAGATTTATACAATCATTTATAACATTTAGTAAATTTGAAATCTAAATTTTAGTATTTTTAATTTCATTTTATATTCTCATATTGCGATTTTTTTAATTAAAAAATGCAATTGCACATGTGTTCGTGTCTGTGTTTACATTGCTCAATTCATGTTTATGATAAATGTATAACTGAATTAATGGCTATAAGGTACCAAATTGGTGAGCTACTGGTTTTATAATCAAATGATTATTTTTTTTTTAGTGGAAAACTTATTTAATACGTAATGTGATGATCTGTTTAAAAACATCATTGATGCAAAGGAATCTTTGTTGTAGGGTTATATGCTGAGGAATCTTCTGAAGCATTTTGTTTATTAATGGAAGTGGCTTAATTAAATATTAGTCAAGAGACAACACGTGATTATGTTATATATATAGTATGAAGAATTGATATTTTAACAGAACGCGAGAAACATGCAGGTTCTGTGGGTTATTTGTGAAACGAATATTTAAGAACTAAATTATAACAAAAGCAAAGGCTGCCTGGAATCCAACAGGAGAACTTCTGTTAAGAACCTGAAACACAGATTCGGTTAGAAAGGAGGTTTCCACAAAAGTTCCGTTCGAATCTAGGTAACTTCCCCTCTGTTGTATTCACTTAGGCTACACACCACTTATGCGCTATAAACTTTAGTTTGGCTTGGGAAAGGGTGGATTACGTTTCTGATTAGCCACAAGAAACTTTGAGCATCACCAACGTGTGAATTCACGTCCTGAAGTCAACAATCAATGGTTTTGTTCACATGTTCCAGGATTATATCCCAATTCAATATGAAAAATTTTTATTATGTTTATGTTTTATTTGTTTAATTAATTTATTATTATTATTTTTCAGGGAGTAGGGATTCGAACTCCGATCTTAATGTCTTTCTTAAGATTATCTTGACCACTAAATCAAATAATTAAAGATAATTTATTTTAAAATATTATTTATAATTATTCGTTAAACTTAATAAATAAATATAAATAAATAAAATTCAAATTTGTTTACTTTGTCAAACGATTTTGTTTTTTTTTTTGGGTATGTAAACAAAAATTTTGTTATATTCATCATTTAATCATTTAATTAATGAATCATGAAATATTATTTGTCATCGGTTGTTAAATTTAATAAATAAATAAAAACGAAATCATAAACTATATATATATTCATGAACGATTTGGTAGTTTACAATCTAAATATTTCAAATCCTGATACTGAATCCAATACCCTCTCGATTTCCCATTAAAAACTCATCAAACTTTTGCTTCTTTCTCACTTCTTTCATCATGTAGAACAGCTATGAGTGTAATAATTGTCAAAAAATGAAAATTGTTTTGCGCTTTCTAGCGCTGTACATTTGGTTAGATTCTGGTTTACGGAGATGTGAAAGGAAGCTTATACAAAGGAAGGGAATATGATCCTGAATTACTGATCCATCACATCAGTTTGAAAATATGAGAAAATTATTCCCTATTAACTTAAGAAATTATTTGGAATCTTAACCAAAATTTTCCCTCTGAATTCTGCAAAGATGGTATTATTTGTCTTCCAATTTGCTGAGCGGATTTCTTTCACTTTGCAAGGCTTGTGCTGCGTATAAAATCGGTGTTTATCTGCCATCTTAAGTAGGCATCTGCTCTCGTTTCTACTTGTAATCCGTTCAACAAAAACCTACTCAAAAACTCATCCAATTCCCTTTCGTGTGTATCAATGGAAAAGAATCAAACTAGTTCCCCCAAGGCTGTGTGTGTGAAAACCTTTAGAGCAATAACTTTCGGTCGTGCTTTCAGTGCAATTCGTCGTATCTCGACCCCGCAACAAACACCTGCACCTACCAAATATGCGCGAAATCCTTCATTACCAAACTCTGATCCTCCTATAAGACCCCTTAATATCAAAATTACCAAGCTGACATCTCCACAGCGCCCCAAACCTACAAGTAAAGAAGGATCAGAAGTTCCCATCAAGTTTGACTACGACACCAGCTTGCCTACTCCACTAACTGAGAAACCAAAGCCAACAGTCCTTAATGGTTCCACCCAGAACAATGGCCAAGTGCCACATGCCTTGATGGCTGAACAGGCAAAAACACCAAAGCCCTCGACTGATTTGGTTCGATCTGGAAAGCCAATTGCCCCAGGTAATGGTCAGAAGCTACAAAATAAGTCCCAGCCCAATGCAGAAAAGAGTAATGGGCAAATTCAAGTCCCAATTGAACAAAATTATGACGATACATTTACCACTTTTATCTATCAAACAAAGAAGAAGATCATGTCACGTGATCAGTACTCTGGAGAGAATTCCCAGGAACTGGTTGAACAAAATCATGGTCATGGTGGTATTGGAAAGGATAACCAGTTTTAGGATTACACCGACCAGACTAAAAGGAAGATCAGAACTACCCCGAGCATCAAGGATAGAAGCGACTCCTTCAAGTGAGTGATATTTGAGTGACTTAAAAAACTGGAGATTCTGTATACTTCTGCCAAAAAGGTTTGATGGAATAATCATCGATTTTGTTGCTTTGTGTTGTTAATTTAGCGGTTCATATACGATAATGTCGGTCTTTGTTTTGTAAAGGTTTCAACCTGAGGTATGGGCTTATGGCTGTTGGGATTGATTTGAAACCAGATACACTGAAATATTCCACCCTATCTGTCTCACTAAACATCCCATCTCTATTTATTATTATTGATTTGATAATTTTACTCCTATTTTGTTCTTTTAATTTTGAGATATGGTAATGTTGAAAAACATTGGGCATCAAATTATTATTAATTAATTCAACTGATCATTAGTGGTCTGCGATTTGTCCGCAGGCCCTCGTCATATCTTTTCCGTCTCTAAAGCTTAGGCCAAGACTGCATGAGTTAGGGCTCAAACCACTATAGCGCCGAAAATCTGTCTGGAATAACCCATTTAAGGCATTAACCCTAGTTCCGCCCAGTCTTCATCTTCTACCATTCTCGGCTTTGCCCATTTTACAAGCCCGTGAATGATGAATTAAAAAAAAAAATATATTGGGCTTGAGAGCTCAAAAGTAAGCAATCATCTCTTAGTTTCCTTTTCTATCTGATCTGTGAAAAAAAAATTTGAACCCAAATTTAAATTAATTCATACAATTATTTTTAAAATATCATTTAATAAATATGTAATTTAAATCTTAATATTTTTATTTTTTTTATTGTCAAGTTACCGTCCTTTTGTATAAAAAAAATTTAAAACTATTTAGACATGCCATAACACTTGTCAAGTTCTAATGCCAACTCCACTTTTCTCCCTACTTTGGTAAGCTAATCATATGTTGTAATAGAATAGAACTTCCAATCCAAAGCCACCCATTTGAAGGCCAAATGGGCACTGCTATTTTTTTTTTTTGTGAAAGTTACACTCTCCAGGAACTCTTTGGGTAAATCACATAGCCAATATTGCATGGCAGGCAACAAACATTGTCAAAGCTTTTATTGATTTCCACTAAAGTTGTGAGCCTATTACAGGTTGTTGTTGCACTGGCATTGCTTTTGCTACAACTATTACAAATCCAAATAAACTATAATCTGCCATATTTGTTTTCCTTGACAAGGCCTTTCAACTTAACTTTCATGTTTCCTTAATTTTTTTCCTATATATTTCTGTTTTCTTAATTGTTAGTAATTAAAATTGCTTTCACCCAAACTTTCCTTTTAAAAACAGCTTGGGTTTTAAGCCTTTTTTCTTGTTTTTTTTTCTTATAAAAAATTAAAAAAAAAATTACAAGTATTAATAATTAATTTTTAAATTTAATGAATGTCACATTTTAAAAATAATTTCATGATTCGAATTCAATTTATCTTGTCATTTTTTGAGCTAGAACTTCCTTAAAGATTTTATTAGAACATGTTAATCGTCTCGCTTGCACATGATTAATCTCATAACATATTGGAATATATAGCTACCATATGTTTTGGAGGATGTATAAATTTTGGACTTCAGCAAACCCTTTGATGTTCTTCTTCATGCTTGATTAATATTTTTGCCCCAAAACCACAAAGAGAATATATCAAGGAACTATACAAATTAGATAAAAAATCATATCAATTTCAGCCTCCAACACATCTCACATGAAGACACCTTTGAAAAAAAAGGTTAGTTCAAAAATGGAAGAAAGAAAACGATGTGCCATGTGAGTTCTAATTAAAGACAAGACAAGATGGGGATGTTTTCTTTGAACTGTTCATCGGTTTTTCAACCTAATGTTAAAAAATACAATTTCATGATGAATTTCACCAAGTAGAATGTCAATTGAAAAAAGAGTAATTAAATTAAGCTTTGACCTAAAACTATGACGCAGATGCTGATCTGACATGCACGATCTGTGCTCTCTTTCCATGGCCTGAAACCTGTAAAAAATATATATATTTTCTTTATTAACAAGATTTTG